AGTATACATTGCTCTTTGTGCAATAGGACAGAATAATTTTACGTGTTGAATAGCTAGTATTGTAAGAAAAAAGAGCAAAAATAGTCTCTATGATTCTGGGAAATATTTCCAATCATAAAAGATCTCTTAATAATTTAAACTATTTATATACACCTTGTACATTCATACTCCCATGCATACACACAGGCAGACATATAAAATCATTCAACAATAGTATTGATTTTTAAATTGTAACAAAAAATAAAAAACGTAATAACAATAAATATACTAAAATTAGAATGAGAGTAGTAAAGCAAGTATAAATAATCTTTTGTAACAAGTGACTGCATGGTGCTACGATATTTTGTATAGAGGAATCACGAATGAGTCTTAATTTATAACTAAAGTGAGATAAACGTTAAGAAACAACAATTTAAAATGTTACTTTTTTTTAGCTATGACCACCACAGTAAAATAAAGTTTCTATTTATAAATGCACAATTTCTTTTCTTCCCTGCAGTTAAAAAATTCTGTTTGTGCCATATTGAAAAAAATATCTCCAATAGTAATTTCAAACAGCAGCCTTAGTACAAAGGTTTCAGCATTTCTTGTAATGGTATTATTTAAATACCTGTTGCTGATGAAGCTGTTGTTGCTGCATTTGATGTTGCATTTGATGTTGCAATTGTTGTTGCTGCTGGAGCTGTTGTTGATGTTGCATTATTTGTTGTTGTTGTTGCATTGTTGTATTCCCTCCTCCATTAGTGGTTTGTTGATTTTGCCCACTTTGAGTACCATTTGGTAAACCTATGGCATTTTGAAATTATTAAGTCCTTTATTATGTACTCATTTTTATAGATTCTTACCATTAGGTGCTGGACCTTGAGCTGGGGATTTAGCCCAGCCTTGTAGATCTGCTAACAAATTTTGCCACACTGCAATCTTATCATAGTGTCTTTTTATCAGATCTTCTTTTCGTGCTAACTCTACTCTAAGATCATTAATATCCTCTTTAACTACTAGTTCTGGCTTTAATGCAGATAATAAGAATCTCTTCTGTAGAAAGAAGGCCTCCATTTGCCTCGCCAAGTCTATGAATCTCAATGTGACTTGTTCGACTTCACTACAAGCTTCCTCATTATCCACAGTCAAACCACCAGACATTCCAATCCCAGTGTTTCCTAATCCCTCGTCCTTTGCCGTTAATATACTCAAACATTGCTGTAATTGTATTTTATATTAGTAGATGTCACCATATAAACAACTCATGGATAATATTATACATAATATAAAACAGTTTTTTAAATCAAAGTGAATGTCAAAAGGACAAAAAATGTAAAATTAAAGTACTAAATGCTAATACATTAATGAAAAAAATTGTAGCGCTTCTAATAACATACCTGGAATGCTTCCTCGAATTCGTCAATAAGGTTACCATTACCATTGGTGGGTGTCGCCATTATACTTGTAGTGTTTATGTACAAAAAGAGACTTTTTTTTACAATTACATTTAACTTAATTTAGCAACGATATAAGTAGGTACATAATATAATGTCTTGAAATATAATTAGTCTCTGGATAGTATACACGTTTGTTCTTTAAACAAGACATTAAAATCTTATAATTGAACGGAACATCACGCAAAATCACTGATCCATACTGATGCATACATTAGATGCAATAATTCATCCTTTCGTCATTTAATATATTAAACGTAACAATATACTTATTACGAAGATAATACTGCATAACGAATTTTTTGATCAGTTAAATGTAGGATGTGCACATGCACAACTCTGCTCACATGCAACAACTAAAACGATAATCAAGCATAATTTAGTTACGTTTTAGTAACTAGTCGAGCTTTCTCTTTTCCAAATTCAAGAACCTTTCTATCCCCACCATTCTGCTCTGCATTCACCTTTGCGCAGTTACTTTAAAAAGAGAACGGGAGATGATTTAAGAGAGACAGAACGAACCTAACGGGCTCTATGACGAATGTCCACACGGACGAAAACCTAGGCCGTCTCATTTTACCGTGCTTGTGGTCTCACTCTTTTCGCACATCCGTACGCCTAGCACTCCATCTGTAACACGTAGCGCGATATTCGACTTGTACTTTTCGCCTCGTAGGATTCTCGATCACATTTGCCAGTGAACGATGCTCAATGCACATTGAGATATGTTTCGAATGTAAACATAAACTTGTCTAATGAATATTTCTATTACTCCAGAATGTTTAAATATTCTCTTTTATTTCTTAGTTGTTCTTATTTACATTATGCAATTATGGATCATCAATTCCGTTTAAAAACAAATTAATTGAATATCAATAATTAATAAACAAAAGTGTAGGTAGCAAAGAATTTATTACTAATATTTTAAATTTCCCCTCTGTTAACTTTGAATCTATTATATGGATGGTTCTATTTATTTGCCTAGTATTAAATAGGTCAGATTTCGTTCAAAAATCAATTAAATCAAATTCTATTAAGTCAGGTACATCAGGTTCTGGCATTGGTTTATACCATGGATCCTCTAACTCCCATAAATCTGAAGGCAGCATCGCTCTACCCGGAGGTGGTCCACATACTGGACATGGAGGATAACGTTCAACATCAAAGAACCTCTCTAATTCCTCTGGATCAAACGTTTTATGTTTGTAGGTTTGTTGCTGCTGTGGAATAGGAGATGCATGAGCTTTAACTCTGGATTGAACAGGTATGGCTGTGCCTAATTTTTCGTCTTCCTCCCAAGATATATCTTTATCTACATAAAGTTCTTCTTCAAAAGGAACATTTAAGTGTAAGTCATCTGAAACTTCTTCTGCTATTCTTTCAAATTCTTCTTCTAATTTTCTGTCTGCTACTCTTGCTGCCATAGCTTCTTTAGCTTTTCGCAGAAATTCACGAGCTGCAACAATATTTGGATGATCGATTCCATGTTCAGGTTGAAACATTTCACTCTCCACATCAGGAACTCTATATATTGTTAAGAAAGGTAATTGCCATTACAGTTAGATAAGTAATAGTTTTTCCTAAATTATTGATTTCATTCTCATTGTTACAGAAGTTCACTGTGCATTTCAAGTAAAAATTTGCTTTTCAACTCTACCTTATTATTTGTCTAGGAGGAGGAGGAGGAGGAGGAGGTGTGTATTCCACAAAAGAACCAAACTCAGGTGGAGTTTCATCCGCAATGTTAACAGAAACGTTTGCTACTGTCATAACAAAATCTCGTCTAGCTTGTTGTAAATCTTCTAATTTAATTTGCACTGCTTCAGCTTCTGTAGCATCTTGCTCATCGAGAGCATCACTGTTACAATTGGAAAGATTTTGTATCAGAATTATAGGTAAAGCAATATATGACAGCTTCACCTGATCACTTGAATAGAGCGATTTGCAATTTGCGATGTTTCTTTTGGATCAATGTCTGCAGGTTGTGGTACGCTAATAATGGTAGTGCGATTCTCGTTTACTGTTCCAGGAGGTATTACAATATTGCTGATTGGTCCTTGCCCAACTGGTTCAGCACTGATTACATCAGCGTTCATCATTCTAGCTAATTCAGTAGTTTGTCTAGGTACAGTCTCGTCAGGTGGTCTTGATCTTGATCGTGGGATTGCACCCCTCGATGAAGCTGCAGCCATAGGTAGAGATTTTCTTGCATGCGGAAGCCTTTCTCTACCGATCCTAATTAAAAATTGCTTTTAGGATCGTGATGAGAAATTCTTCGTGTTACAAATTTTAGTAAATCTAACAAGTTAAATAAATATTTGATTAAGTTAGATTTGACTATTGCCACGACCTGGAATCACCTCCTACTGGAGCGGGTGTTCTTCTTGGTATTCGTTCACCGATCATTTCTTCATGCTTTTTACGCTCGTATTCCTGCTTGACTTTTTCTGCTGCCTGCATTCTGGCAATCATTGCTTTAGTCATTCCCGGCCTTTGAAAGTCCACCTTCTTTGGTTCACGCAATACTCTCTTTCGAGCCTTAAATACATCTTGCTGCTGACCTCTTGCTACTGTTTCTTTCTGTTTCAGTTCTCTTAACAAAGCACTCGTCTTTGCTTCACGAAGGTGCTGAGTTTTCGTTAAGCCACTTCCGGGCCGTCCGAGCCGACTCATTTTGGTTCTACCACGTTTTCAAGTTAAAGAAAAACTTCGTTAAAATTTTGTTAAAAAATGTATTATATCTTCTTGTTATTAAGTGACAAATATCACTAGTTTAATCATCGCGTGAAAAGATATTATACCTTAAAGAAGCATTAAGAATAGCATTAAGTATAATATAATAACCTAATTAAATGTTACTTTTCGTTGGGAAATATTTATTTCAGTAATGTTTCACTGACAATTTGACAAGTCTTCATATTGCAAGTATTTCTTAAAATTACTAGTCCATAATTTTCAGTGTAGAGATTACATTTTCAATATTGGTTCATTTTATTTTAGTGTATTAGTTTTTGAATTTGGTCCTGATAATATAGTATCTAAATCACATGAAATTTGGCAGGTAGCATAAGTATTTGCAATAGGAATTGCTTTTGTTTTTGACAATTTACTAAATGTTTTATAGAAACATAGAAATATCGAAAAGTCTTATTTTATGCTTCATTTTACATGTACATAATTTTCTAGGGATGTCAAAACAAAAAAATATATATTTATGCTTATACACATACATATTTTGATATTTTGATTATATATGTTTCATTTTTTAATGATCGAAAAGGTAAATTCTATAGCATAGTAATTTAAAAGTAAAATTTTGTAGTTTGCGGTGGCTATTTAAAAATTTAAATTTAATCGATTGTTGCAAAACTTCCGATACTTGCAATCAAAACAAATCGATACTTTGGTCGATATGTTGCAAACGTAAGTCTGTATGTACTTAATATCAGTTGAATTCTTCGCTTAAGTTATTATATTATATATTTCTAATAATGCCAACTAGGGCAGAACGCCCTAATTTAATGCCTTTTCAGGATACTCAATACAGTTGGACGGATGATTTACCGGTTTGCAAACAATCTGGTATGTAACTATGCACAGTTCTGGTGAGCGTAACCTCAAAAATTTATTACTCCAATATTTACACTAATATTGAAATAAACCAGTATTTATAAATATTGTTGGTTTTTTTTCTACTAATTGTTAACTCTTAATAGGTTTTCAAATGTACAAAAATTCAATCAATATTGGGATGATTTAATAATAAAAATTTATCTAAATGTATCAATTTCTCTAATTGAATCAAAACATTATATGATTATCAGCGCAAAATTTGATTACACAACAAAAACTTTGCTGTCTGTTCAGTCAAAATACATTCAAACCTCGCTGAAACAAATATTTATTTTATTTCAGGAGTAGGATTTTCGACTAATCAAATTTATCGGGAGGATGGATATAGACAAGAAGAGCACCCATTTGAAGATCGTAGTTTCCATTGTCGCTATGATGACTCAACATTCCTTTATGGAGTATTTGATGGACACGAAGGAACTAAAGCAGCTAACTTTGCTATGCAAAGAATGGCTGCAGAGATTTTGCTGGGTCAGTTGAGTGGAAAATCAACTGATGAAGAGATCAAAGAAGTTCTACGGTAATAATATGTATAAAATAGTGGAAATAACAATTAACAATTTATTATCATTCTATTAACAATTTATACATTATTATTTTAGGCAAGCATTTATTGCTGTAGAACGGGGATATCTAGATTCCATTGGCGATCTTTTGGCTGAACGTGCCAGTTTGCAGTTTGATATACCCGATGGTTTAAATTCATATGAAACTTATCAAAAATTCCCTCACTTGGTTAGTCGAATTTACTGACTGCATTTTCAAGAAAACATATTATTATAGTATAGAATTCATATTTCAAATTCAAGTGATATTTCTTAATTCTATACTTTTTACTATATCTATACAAGCAGTTTTTGTAGTATTATTCTTTCAAAAACTAAGGCCTATAGAATGGAGAGCCAATTAATGAAAGATGTTTCCTTAAATTTTTAAATCTATTTCTTTGTTCATTGGTGAAATTATAAATGAATAAAACATTTATACAGGTCGATAAGTTAAATTCATTAAATTGCGAGCTATCAGCAGGAACCAGTGCAGTTGTAGCTCTTGTATATGGTGGAAGATTGTATGTAGCGAATGTTGGTGATAGCAGAGCTTTATTATGTAAAACTGACAGTAATCAAGTTCTAAGAGTTGTACAATTAAGTGTCGATCATGATTTACGGAATGAAGATGAATTATTACGACTATCTCACTTAGGATTAGATATCGATTCGATAAGACAAGGTGAGTTAGTAATGTTGAACTAACGTTTTAAGTGATATTATAGCAGATGTGATATTTAAAACAAATTTATTTTGAAGGATCTCATCTTGGAAATCAAGAAAATACACGATGCCTTGGAAATTATCTTGTTAAAGGAGGATACAGAGAATTTGAGGAATTGGCAACTGCCACAGCAGAGCCTATTATTGCTGAGCCTGAAATTCATGGTGGGATAGAGCTTGATGAATCGTGCAGATTTTTACTACTCATGTCTCATGGTCTGTATAAATCGTTAGAAGAAGCAACCGGTACCGACCAAGTTAATAAAGAATTAGCACTTATAGCTGTTGAACAGGTACGACATGGGTATTCATAATTGTACGATTATATAAGAATCAGTTTCATATCGATTAAATTTCAGTTTCGCGTGCAGTCTACGTTGACTGGAGTTGCTCAAGCTGTTGTAGATAAAATAGTAAGGATTCATCACGATGTCAATATGAGTATTTCACAAAGTACAGTAACTACTGGTAAACGTGACGATATAACTCTGCTTGTACGAAATTTTAATTTTCCACTTCCCCATGCTTTGAAAAGCCCAACCAATCAGTCTGTTAGATTTAATCCAATCGTTGAAACTGCTCCGATAAGAACAATGCCAGAAACAGAGGATTATTCAAGCACTGGAGTTACAGACGAAGTGTCGACAAGCGATACTTCAACATCAGATATATATTCTTCAGGAGAAAAGCCAACGGATAGAAACGCAAGGATTAAATCTTATGTTAATTTCTCGGAATATTATGAAAATGTGGAAAAGAGACGTCAGGAAGGAACTCTACCCGAAGGCATCAATTTTTAGTTGTAGAATCCTAGAAAATACTAAGTATTTGTTAAATTTTGTATTATGTTTGTATATATTTATTTTGTATATATGTCTTTCAAATAAAACATCAAAAATTCATGCATGTATAACCGTTTGCATGTAATGAATATAACAAAAGTTGCGGTATAAGTTAAATAACAATTATAAAACTTAATCTCCTTCTTTTTTGTCTCCTTAAAGTGATTACATGAACAGTTTCAGTTTGTATGGTATAATTTCAATTCGTCGACACACCTTAATCAAATTTTGATAATACAACCTACAATTTAAAGCCTACACGTTCGTGTATATAGATTATAAATATTTCGTTGGGTTTGTTTTGAGTCTCTCATATGCAGCCTTTTCGAGGCATTCCCTATGATCTGGATGAGCAATTTGAATCAATGCATTCGCCCTTTGACGTAACGTTTTGCCAAAAACGTTTGCTACACCATGTTCCGTTACAATGTAGTGTGCGTGTGCCCTTGTTACTACAACTCCACCACCTGTTTAACAGTTATAATTATTATGATAAAAAGATAGCAATACTAGATGAGCTTAATCTAATTACAGCAAGTATTATTTCTTGTTTGTTTCATACCAACTTTGAGTACAGGTTGAATTTTACTTTCCCCCTTGCTGGTTACTGAAGGAAAAGCAATCACAGCTTTCCCCCGACCATCTTGGCCCATCGCAGCACCACGAATAAAATCGAGTTGCCCACCGAAGCCAGAATACATCTTGCAACCTAAACTATCGGAACATATTTGACCAGTAATGTCCATCTCTATGCAAGAGTTAATGGCAGTCATTTTCGGTTGTTGCGATATCACTCGAGGATCGTTCACATAGTTGATCGTAAGCATTTCTAAATGAATAAGTAATCAAAGTTATACGTACATATATGCAAACATACACGCATACATACATACGTACCTACAAACGGATTACTATGTATGAAGTCGTATACTCTTTTAGTACCAATCGCCAAAGAAGCTACCATGCGTCCTCTATGTTTAAGTTTCATTTTATTTGTAATATTTCCACGTTCCGCTAGATCCACCATTGTATCACCCATGATTTCCGAATGAATACCAAGATCTTTGTGATTGCCAAGGGAACAGAGAATAGCGTCAGGTATATTGCCAATACCAAGTTGCAAAGTTGCTCCATCGTCTATTAGCCTTTGCGCTATAATTTTGCCAATTTCTGCTTCAATATCATTCGGTGGACAACTAGCCACGCATGGCAAAGGACAATTGTACTTTACAGCCCAATCGATGTGGCTACAATGAATGATGGAATCTCCGAATGATCGTGGCATGTGTTCATTGACTTGAGCTGTGACCAATTATAAAGGTAACTTTGATTTCAGTGTATTCATAACTACTGCTACAGTAGCAATCTTATTAATTACTGACCAATGATCACTTTAGCTGTACTGAGAGCTGCACGAGTACAGTCCACGCTCACGCCTAAGGAACAAAAGCCACGTGCGTCTGGCACACTAACATGAATCAGGGCAACGTCCGGAATAATCCTCTTTTCGTAAAACAGTTTCGGTACTTCATGGAGGAATATTGGAATGTAGTCTGCACGGCCTTCGTTCACAGCTTCTCTGACGTTCGCTCCAATGTAAAAGCTCACAGATCTAAAGTGTTCTAAATAGAGTAAATTGTAATTATTAATATGGTGTGCCGAAACGGAAATTAGCAATTACGGAATATCATACTTTCGAATTCAGGGCTCGCGAACGGGGCGTCTCCTTCAAGACCCATGTGGATTAATCGTACCCCGCGTAGATTATTGCAAACACCGTGCTCCGTCATAGCGCGTATTAACTCATTTGGTGTCGCTGCACCACCTTGTATAAAAACTAAATGCTCTGGAAAAATAAATTTCAACGATTACGACGTTAGAATGAGAAATATAAAGATAATATAATAAGTTTGATGATAAAAAAGTTTATTCGAGTTCTGAGCGGAACCATGGTAAATACCTGAATTTATAATTTTTACTGCATCTTCCACGCAAACCCATCTTGGACATCGTTTCAGTGGTTGTAGTGGTTCTCGTATAAATTTCAGACCGCACAAGTTGAAATTTCTCTTATCCACGAGATTGTTGAATGTTGCATTCAACGACTCCAATTTTCGACGTAAATTAAATCCGAACATTTTTATGTAGAGTGTAGAATAAAAATTAAAGATGTCAAAAATCGTCCGGACGCCTGAAATTCGAATTAACTTCGTCGAATCGGTGGAATATATACTGGAATTACATGAAAATTTGGAAAGCACATAATCTAAACAATTTCATTGGCTTTAGATGTCACTTCACACCAAATCTGGATAGGATTTGTTGCCATCTCCACGATAACTATTTGAACGTCGCATTTGTCGGTTTTCGATTTTTCAGTCCTCTCCTTTTGATGTGTTTGTTATACTTATATTTTCCAACACCCCATACCATGCATATAAAAGGTGATAAAAAAACACGGTGTTGATAGCGAAATAATTACACTTGTATATATTCCATCTTGAATTTATTCCTTCAAATGCGATACGTCTGCTAGTTTATTACAGTGATTGCATTATACAAAGGAACTTCTTTAAAATTCCATATAAAAAGTATTTGTCGTCATTGTACAATGGTTTTCTGTTCAACTATTGTGAAATACTCGTTGAAAATAAAAGCTTTATTGTATTTCCTCAGGGATCAACGTTTCCTTGCTTATGGCGACAAATAAGAGGCCTTCTCGGATTTACTGAGAATGTAGTTATCTATGTAAATTAAAAATTATTCTCCGATATTTTATTTGTCAATGTAGTTTTATATTATTCTTATTCCAGGCAAGAAGGCGCGTAAAGTAGGTGAACTTAAGAAAGTATGAGGTTTTCAGCACGAATAAATAATTATGCGTGCGGAAAACGACAAATATCGCGAAATGCTATTAGAAGAGTCTTTTGACGATGTGTTTATCGTTGATACGCTTATGGAGCCGGCATCACTTTTAATCTTTCGAATGCTGCTTTTTCGAGAGCCTCTCTGTGATCGGGATGGGCGATTTGAATTAATTCGTACGCTCGTTGTTGTAGACTTTTACCAAACAGACTAGCAATTCCGTGTTCTGTGACAATATACCGAGCGACTGCTCTGTTTGTAACGACACCAGCACCTTGAAACCATAAATGAGAGATTAATATTTCGAAAATAATTAACTTACGTGTTTATAAATTTGTAGCAACAGAAATTTCTCTGTGTAAAGGTACAGACAAAGAAACATTCTGAAGATTCAAGTACCATGTTTTAGTAAAGGTGCAATTTTGCTCTCGCCCTTAGTGGTAATGGATTGCAACGCAATAATAGGTTTTCCAAGACGATCATCACTGATCGCTGCCCCCGTGATGAAATCTAGTTGTCCCCCAAATCCAGAATACATTTTTGGTCCGATACTATCGGAGCAAATCTGACCCGTTAGATCGACCTCAATACAGGAGTTGATAGCTGTCATATTTGGCTGCTTTGCTACCACTTTAGGATCGTTCACGTAGTCCACTACCAACATCTCTACAATAATCATAATTTTACATTTTAGTCTGAACAGATTTTACATTGAAACAAACTTTTAAAAATGGTCTTACCGATGAAAGGATTATTATGCATGAAGTCGTACAATTTTTCTGAACCAACGCAAAACGAGCCGACGATTCGGCCTCTGTGCATTGTTTTTTTGTTATTCGTGATGCACCCTTTATTTACAAGGTCAACCACACCATCGCTAAACATCTCGCTGTGAATTCCAAGATCCTTATGGTTCTTCAGTTCTGACAATACCGCGTCCGGTATACTGCCAATCCCCATCTGTAAGGTAGCTCCGTCCACCACCAAATTCTCAGCAATATTTTTACCAATCTGCTGTTCTTCTTTGGATGGTGCTTTTACAGGGTGTACCGGAAGTGGTTTGTGATGTTCCACGGCAAAATCCAAGTGGCTAACATGAATGATGGCGTCGCCGAACGTCCTGGGCATATGTTTGTTTACTAACGCTACAAAATAACGAATATGATGGAGATCAATATTTATTGTATATAAAGTAGCCAGAGGTAATGGAATTAGAAAGATTCGAAAATTTACCTACGATATATTTGCTGTGACTCACAGCGGATCTGACACAGTCAACGCTGGTACCGAAAGAGCAGTACCCTTTATCGTCTGGAGGACTAACGTGAACCAGTGCAATGTCCGGCTTAATGTAGTTTTCTTTAAATAATCGCGGGATCTCGTGCAAGAAAATGGGCACGCAGTCAGCAGTTCCCGCTTGAACGGCTGGCCTCACGTTGCCTCCAATAAACAAGCTTATCGACCTGAAATGTTCTGCATACAAAGCGTCATAATACATAGAATTATCGGCATATAATTAGAACACTTCTAGTTGTGAATGAACTACTCAATTTACATACACGCCGTATAAAAAAAAGTTTTGCATTCGAATTTCTTAATTCCTTTGATACCAAATATTGTGAACTGTATAAATACTACGTACAGCTTATAATCTTTTTGTCAAGAGGGCAATTTAGACTTATCGCTTTGGAGGACGAGCGGATATTTATGATAACGACGTACTTGCAGTTTCTGGCTTGGCAAATGGCGCCGGGCCTTCGAGATGCATATGATACAATCGTACATTTCTCACGTCACATCGTACGCCATAGTCAGTCATCGCCCTTAAAAGTTCGGTAGGCGTTGCTGCTGCACCCTGGACAAATACCACTTGATCTGTAATGAAAAAGTAATTTATTGAAAAAAAAACATATTGTTTCCGAATTTGTAAAAAATATAATAGGTGCATGTATATATATTTTTTCATAGAGTGAACATGATATTTCAGGAAATGTTTACGCGCACAGACGCGACCATTAGATAACGGATTTAATACTTTGTACCCAATGTGTTATTTATACACAGCTAAACAGATAACATCCAATTTACCTAAGAAAATCACGAGTCATCTCTGATTATTTCAATATATGCTAGTAATAATAATAATAGCCATAACAATAATTAAGCGCTTTTTATCTGCTAAGTCTATAATAGAATTATAATCTCTTAAAGTATATAATTTCCGTGAAGATTTGTATAATACATTACGTTTTCAAGACGTTCAGTATTAAAATAAATCCTCATTCCGTATTTGACTGCTGGCATTTGAACCTTGACTTCGATTACTTTCGCCTTGGCAGAAGAGCGAAACACGAACGCTCTTGATCTATTTAACAAATAACTCGCGTGAATTAAGAATAACTAGGGGTGTAAGTCCCGAAATTTCACAAAATACGAGTACTCGAATTCTTACGCGAGCTGGACTGTTATCATATGTATATATGGAAAAATTATGAAATTGTTGCCTTATTTTTTCAAATGTTGATATGTTTTCGTACTTTAAAGTAATACAATATTGTAAAAATTCGCAAGGAAAAAACATGTATTTTTTTCAAATTACAATGTAGAAAACATAGTTGTTCTACTTTTTCAGTAAGTAATCTCGTTCGTGTGACTGTCATGCTATTGCTGCCAATAAAAAAGGAAAACGTTTACAATTATAATTACATTTCCACTTCCACCAATTCATGATGTTTGTTTTTCGGGGAGGAGTGTTTTTTCTTGCGAATTTTTACAATTTTGTTTTACTTTCGCGAAGTGCGAAAACGTATCACAATTTGAAAACATAACGCAAAAGTCTTTTTGAAAAATCATAAAAAAACATCATGTTTACGTTTTCATAATCTTTTCATATATACGATAACAGTCCGACTCGTGTAAGGGGATTCGGCTACCCGAACTATGCCAACTCTCGGGATTCGAAGGTCAGGTATCCGATACACTCCTAAGAATAATTAATTTGTACTACCCGAAAGCGTCGTAAGAAATCAAAATGATGCAAAAGAAAAGTTCAAATTACTTTTAGCGGGTCCTGAAATTATAATAATCAGGATCATGATTTAAATAGTCCTGTTCACAAAATAAACTACGTGTTCTCCGTAAACAAACTTGTTGAGAAACGTAATCTGTAAACAGTTTATATTTAATCGCAGACTCGAAACCAATAATATTCGCTCGCCCATCTGCTATAATAGGTACGAACATATCGCGTGTTGAAAATACATTTTGTCTATACCATACGATGATGCTACTATCATACGGTTGGCCATGAATAAAATAAATAATTTGTGGATGACATAATACTCTTTGTTGTTGTTCCATTTATAATTAATTCCTGAATATCGAGTTATCTTATTTTTTCTTATTTATAGTCGAGTTATCTTATTTATTTCATTTACAACAATGAACAATTGTAATGAAATAATTTTTTGTTTAGCCTACTGTCATCGCAAAAAATAATATTTATGTATAATAGATGATATAAAATTTGACGAGTAAATACTTACGTACTTATGTGACGCACTAACATACTACGTAGCACGCAGAAAATTATGCGTACCCGTATGTATGTACCTACAATTCTTTGTTACTTGAAAGAGACTTTATTGGTAAAAAATTAATCAATCTATATTTAAAAAAAAAACCACTTGAATCTGTTATACTATTTGTAAAACCTCTCTCATACGGCGATTTGCATTTGCAGTAAATGTCCGACCATTCTTTCACATAGCGATTGTTGAAGCCACATTCCAAAGAAAATCGACAGCGATGAACCGATTTATGATACACAAACTGCTAACTGAGATTCCGCATCGCATGAGCTCATCGAATTACATGTGCGGCCGGAATCTATCTTCGAGTCGTTGTATAAAAGATTGGTCGGACGCGTACTGCATACGCGAATCGACGTGTAAAAGGCCTAAACGTTAATAAAATTTATGCATATCGATGCAGACAAGTGGGTATTTTCGCGTTTTCGTGATGGTATTCGATGACAAGGGCCGCCTTTCATTAAGTCAATCGTCGGTAATCGGTATTCATCTATTCACTGCGTGTACATATTGAGCGCAAAATCTATTACATAATAAATGTTATATTCTTGATGTGAATAGATCAATTTATCTTCTTATCGGCAGTATACAAATTCTTTAATAAAGATAACAATGTTTTTTCTAAGAATACGGTATCGAAGACTGTGGCAACAAACGCAAATATAAACTCCCGGGAAAAAAACAGTCTATCTTATCTTACATAAATAATATCATCGGTATTATAAATTCTACAGAATTTTGGACATCATAATCGAAGAGCAAAATCGAATTTCGAAAATGTACTCGCTAGGTATTTTAATACTAGATATTCTGCCAAAAATATACGTGGACCACTGACATCTGGATTTATTCCTGTTCAAGGTTAATTTTTTTTCAGAATAGCAATATCCAAACGTGTTACATTAAATTGGACAGACATGCGGTATATTGTATGAATGGAAAATAACATTTGAAAAGGAGTGTTGACAAACTGTGTACAGCAGACAGACAAATTAATCAATTACCTGAATCTAGTTCTGCTTGTTCGATAGCCTCATCGGCGGTCTTGAGCCAACAAGGTTGCTTGCCTGGTATTAACATCGAAGGCTCTTTTCCGTGAGTAAAATAATTTTCCTTCGTTGTTTGAAAGCAACGTCGGGAGCTGACCGTCAACGTGTTCAGTGTTTTCGACAGGATGGCTATTCGTTTTAGGGCTGCCATCGTTGAGATACACCGTGATCTTCTGTCACTGTTTCACGAGGACACACTGTCGACTGGAACGACGATAAATGATAAAACTGTCCGCGATCCGATTGTCCAACGTGCAGGAAAGTCAGGGGTAAACAAATTAACGAGATTACGGAATTTTGAATGAATTTTGGCAAAAATTGTGTTTTATCGAACGATATTGTATATCCTCGAACCAGCCGCCACCGTGTCTCACAGTCACAGTGCAGTTGCGCCACTTGTGCTTTGTGCCCAGTTGCGCCTCTTCGGCGCGAAATTATCGGGATCGTGAACGGGAACAGGTTCCTACAGAGGTGGTGGTCAGACGTATGGAAAATATGGCCGTATAGGAGCGCCAATGACGTAGCGCAGCAGTGATGTGTAACAAAGATAGAAGAGGGGAGAAATAGTGGTTATGTATTTCTTTGTGGGAGAGACGCCGCTAATGCCGATAGGCAAATTTACCGACAGAGTAAATCTGCAGTGGAAAATGCATAGTAGCGCCATCTAATGTTGTCAACGATTAAGTTACTGTCGATAATTTTTTTACCAATTTGAGCGTTCTGCCACTACATGATTTGGCGCTGTATAGACCCCTTAATCGAGCTTCGAGATTTCGCCACAAGAGGTGTTATTATTTAACACCTCTTTAAAGTTTAAATTTTAAGCACTCAAATCTAGATACATTTCAGGTCAGCGCACATTCTAGTTCTGACAATTTATTAAAAATGTTTCAATAGATTTGTTGTTACACTCTACAAGTCTTATATTCTATTAAAACAAATTTTAATTACGCAGCTATTAGCTCGATATTACTCTTGCTTTATCAATAAAACATTTTAAGTTATAACATCTTATACAGGGTGTACGCGTTAATTTTTGTCACCACTTATTAGGCATTTCCGCTCAGAGACTGAAAGCCTAAATGGTTTGAGGTTGAGATATTAAGCCGGTATTTGTTTCCACGTTGTCGTGATGTAATTGCTATTTGGAAAATCCGTTTTAATATCAGTAAAAATACTGAAATATTTATCGGTATAATACCGGTAACTAAACTAACTGGCTAAACAATAATCGACCGTACCGTAACTGCGCGATTATTGATCGTAGCACTTTCGCGGTTTTCTTTTATTTTACTGGTATGAGTCCATAAAAATATAGGTAATTGAACCATCGAAAATACTTAAAACATTGTGTCAAGACTTAACGCATGCACCCTGTATATTGAAGATAATACCGATCGCCCAGGTTTCACCACGAGGAAGTTGCTGCTTTAGTGACCCGAAGGAAGTATTCCTTCTGGCTCCGTTTCTTACGATGATGATCTCAGCCTTCTGACCGCTTTACTTCCAGAAAAGTAGGAGTAGGAGAATTACCCATCCCAAAAGGATTGGATGACGCTAATGGATTCCATTGGAATCGTCCAATCCCATTTGTGAGGTCTTGGAGTAGATTTCCTGACACCAATGGACATACTAAACACCAATGGACACACTGGCCTTGAGCGGAAATTCCACGGACGGTTAGGATGCTGGGAGGTCTGCTCAGAACTGTAAATGCAAAATGGCGTCGGACATACTCCTATCGGATACTGATAGGCAGCTATATATATTGAATTTTAGTTTGTACAAGTTTGTGATTGTCATAGATGGCAGTTAAAACAGTGTCCCTTTGCTGCGGACAGGAACTTCCATTGCGTGAGAGATCTATATAGATCGCAAGTCCTTGCCGACACAGATTGTACATATGTACGATATGAATAATATGAAAGAAGTGCGGTAGCGGCAAGTGAACATAGTCGCCGGAGGTGCGCGCATCTTTATTTAAAGCTCACTGACGTGTTGGTACAATTGCGCGCGCAATGAATCAAGCACCAGTCTCGTGTATTCCAGCCGGGAAGATGTCGAAGACAAAGAAAGTGCTCGACGAAGCCCGCGAGATCCAAAATCCTGAGCTGGATCTCGCTGACAAGGGTATCTCGTCGTTCGAAGAGATGTCCGGATTACGTGAGTTCTCTATATCCTCACGCTACCCGTTTGGATCGCCAAATTAGGCAACTTGTCTTGACTGGTTTTTGGAGCGGATGGAAATCTGAGGAGGCCATTTGTCGCCTGCCCACAAGGTGGGCGTGTCGACGCATGCGCACGCATTTGTTTTAAAGGATAATTACCATTTGAATTTAAAAAGGACAATATATTGTTATACGTTGATGATAATCCCATTATTGTCATGAATATTAATTCAGACGACAAATAATACTCTAAACAGAATTGACATTATTTATAGGTCAATATAATATTGTTTCTATATTTTAAAAGTACTAAGTGTCTGTATTTTGTTTCAGTTAATATGATCAATATAACTAGATTGACTTTAAGTCATAATAAGATTCAAGGTAATTATTTTATTTTACTGCAAATAGTCATACAGACTTAATAATGTTCATTGTTATTATATAAATTTTTTATTCTGTAGCTGTACCACCAGGCCTTGCCAATTTGGTCAATCTAGAGATTTTAAATCTTTTTAACAATCATATTACGGAGCTTCCCATCTCCTTGTCACAGATGCCAAAGCTAAGAATCCTCAATGTTGGGTGAGTTTTTAATATATACTATAATTATTGCATGAATATGTTCAAAGATCCTAGGAAAACTACGTAATGAATTTTGTAGAATGAATAGGTTGGATGTGCTTCCAAGAGGATTTGGTGCCTTTCCAGGGTTGGAGGTGCTGGACTTAACATACAATAATCTGAGTGAGAAGAATTTACCAGGAAATTTTTTCATGATGGGTTAGTATAAGAAAGTTTCACTCTACAAATAATCTTTTAATAAAAATGAAACTAAAATCACCTTTGTTTATAGAAACATTGAGAGCACTGTACTTGGCTGACAATGACTTTGAGTATCTACCATCTGAAATTGGAGGATTAAAAAACTTACAAATAGTACGTATACTTCATGCAACAAACAATAAATTTTATCTTAACCACTTAGAGAATTTTATATTTTTATTATAGCTTGTATTAAGGGAGAATGATTTAATAGAATTACCGAAGGAAATTGGAGAATTAACACGATTGAGAGAACTGCATATTCAAGGAAACCGATTGACAGTGTTGCCTCCAGAAATAGGTATAACCCTAATGCATTAAAAATTGCAATGAATTTAAATGTTGATAGCTCATTAGGAACTGTCTTGTAGGTAATCTCGACTTAGTGAGCAATAAAGCAGTATTCAGAATGGAATTTAACCCGTGGGTGACACCAATTGGTGATCAACTTCAAGTGGGTATATCTCACGTCATGGACTATATTCGATCTGAAACTTATAAATAGTAAGTATTGCAAATTATTCTCTGAGATGTGGAAAACATTTTGCACTACGGTATATGTACTATTTTCAGCGTATACAATCGGCATCAAGCCGCTAAAGGACCACCTCCGGCAAGTGAGAATGACAAGAGTAAGAAAGTATCGCGTGCCCGCTAAGTTGAAACCAAAAACAGTTTACACGTAACATTTAATTTTACACGAACTAGGTTATTTAATTTATACACTGCCAGTAATCTTGGTCAACTAATATCTCTGCAATGAAAATGGTGCCTTTGCTAATGTACAATTAACCCAGTATATTTTTATCATGCATTTGAGGCCTTGATTAAGTATCAAAAAATAATATATACAATAAGTTGTATGTATTCTAGACCAATGTAATATAGTATCGTATTGTCTACGCTTGTTAAACAATATTTTTATAATGACTGGATAGTAAATAATTTATACAATATATATTATATTTTAGAATAATATTTTGAAATAAAACAATTCTTCCAATTTAACAGTCACCGACATATATTTTATTTCTATACATATACAAGCGAATATAATAATGATTCGCATTAATATTTTTATTTATACCTCGTAATATTGCATGTATTGTACTTTTCAATGATTTTAACATTAATTTCATTTATACGCTCATCAACACTTTTAACAACCAAACTTAGGATTTAGTATTAGTAGTTACAATGACTAATTATTTAATAGTGATGTCTTCATTTTAAACTGTACATTAGTTAATTATGATATTCAAATATTTATGTCCGTAGGCTTTAATTTTACAATCGTAGCGTTGATCACTGGTGTACCTCATTCGTTGTTTATTTTATGACTGTATTTTAGAATGACATAATTTGACGCATTATATAAGAGAATTCATAATAATAAATTAAATTTGATGGTCTATTAGAATGTAAAAAATAGTCGACGAGGATGGGATTCGAACCCACGCGTGCAGAGCACATTGGATTAGCAGTCCAACGCCTTAACCTCTCGGCCACCTCGTCCAATGGTACACCTTGCAAAAATGCCCTTGGAACAGGGGTGACTACCCTCGAAAAACGAGAAAACCATTTGCACATAACAATATTAAAAACACTTAAAAATGAAAACGAACCAAACGATTTTAAAATTTATATTGTTACTTTATCCATATACACAAATTGATTTCGTAAAATGTTAAATGGTTTTTTATTACTGGACGAAATTTATTTGAAATTTTCACTCTATTTCGCATAATCTTTATATACATATCCTTATATAAAAAAAAGGTCTTAGAAATTTCTTTCTTTTTAAATACAAATTATTTATACTTTCATCATTTTTTGTAGAATATTATTTTGTTCATGTAACGTTTCTATTTTCAACTTTGAGTTCTGCTTGCGGAAGAAATGTTGAAAATGCATTTATTATAAAATACAGAAATTCCGTGCAATCTTATTTGTTCTCTGCAAGAAGGTGTGTACACTTTGTCTTTTCTAAACTCAAAATAGAAAAATAAGAAATGAAAGGAAGTTCTTTAACGACAAAAACTGTTCTAGTATTACGAATTCATTCAATCTCGAGGGGACTGGTAAATAAAATTTGTACTCCGGTCGATGTATATAGATATTACAGGCTTTTTATTGTAGAACAGCACACGGCCGCATGAATTATATTACATATGTATAAATTTGTATCGGCATCTTTACAGTTAGGTTCACGGAGAGAACTCTTATCGCACATAGATTTCTTTCACATCTCGGGGAGAGGACAGGGATCACGTTATGCATCGTTTATACTGTGACGTTAACGGACAGCACACACGGTTTGATATGGAGACGCGTGCGCGCGTATACGCACCCTCGGCGAATCCTTCTTATGCTCGGAAGATCAGAAGATTGTTCCCGACCTGGTTTGTGCGTACCGCGCCCGAGCGATGGAAATACAACGAAAAAGGAAACAAAAAACCGGCACGANACATTGGATTAGCAGTCCAACGCCTTAACCTCTCGGCCACCTCGTCCAATGGTACACCTTGCAAAAATGCCCTTGGAACAGGGGTGACTACCCTCGAAAAACGAGAAAACCATTTGCACATAACAATATTAAAAACACTTAAAAATGAAAACGAACCAAACGATTTTAAAATTTATATTGTTACTTTATCCATATACACAAATTGATTTCGTAAAATGTTAAATGGTTTTTTATTACTGGACGAAATTTATTTGAAATTTTCACTCTATTTCGCATAATCTTTATATACATATCCTTATATAAAAAAAAGGTCTTAGAAATTTCTTTCTTTTTAAATACAAATTATTTATACTTTCATCATTTTTTGTAGAATATTATTTTGTTCATGTAACGTTTCTATTTTCAACTTTGAGTTCTGCTTGCGGAAGAAATGTTGAAAATGCATTTATTATAAAATACAGAAATTCCGTGCAATCTTATTTGTTCTCTGCAAGAAGGTGTGTACACTTTGTCTTTTCTAAACTCAAAATAGAAAAATAAGAAATGAAAGGAAGTTCTTTAACGACAAAAACTGTTCTAGTATTACGAATTCATTCAATCTCGAGGGGACTGGTAAATAAAATTTGTACTCCGGTCGATGTATATAGATATTACAGGCTTTTTATTGTAGAACAGCACACGGCCGCATGAATTATATTACATATGTATAAATTTGTATCGGCATCTTTACAGTTAGGTTCACGGAGAGAACTCTTATCGCACATAGATTTCTTTCACATCTCGGGGAGAGGACAGGGATCACGTTATGCATCGTTTATACTGTGACGTTAACGGACAGCACACACGGTTTGATATGGAGACGCGTGCGCGCGTATACGCACCCTCGGCGAATCCTTCTTATGCTCGGAAGATCAGAAGATTGTTCCCGACCTGGTTTGTGCGTACCGCGCCCGAGCGATGGAAATACAACGAAAAAGGAAACAAAAAACCGGCACGAAACGATCGAAAATTAAAAGAAAAATTACGCCTGGCGACAACCATGACCATGGGAATGGGTTATTCTCGCGTGACAATCGATCACAGGAGATCCCGGAATCTCGGATACTGTCAAACACTCCCTAATCTGAACTTCGTGTCGGGATACAAAGAATCACGGTGAAAGGGCTGTGGAAGTGGAACAGCGATTACTGACAAAAGCAAAATTGTCGGTGCCTCCGACGCTGGGAGTTCAGGTGTTGGTTGACCCGCTGAACTTTGGACCTAGCATCGGAAGGACCGATTTGATCGGTAAACATCGATACACGGTTGATGATGCTGACACGGAGACGACAATGATCTCGGTTGACATCAACGAGAGCGTCTGCACGTCAGGATCGTCTTCGAAGTCCTAACGTTTTTCCCAGCTACGTTCATCCCCTTCGTAGAAAAATCATTTCTATGGTTTCATCTGTGTCTGAACCTTGTTTTTTGTTTTTAATTGGGGGGCGGAGGGGCAGGCTAGAATTTTGCTTGACACCTCTCATCGATGCCGAACACGCGATTACAATAAATGCCTATCGTTAATAGCGTTTGTCTAATAAACGATTCTCAATGACACGTGCCTCGTGGCGATGGTCGCTTGGCACGCGTGATAATTTGCAAATTAACTTTCTTTTCTCATTAAAACTTTGTATCTTTATAAAATTTTTCATCTCTCTTCTACCTTTCTCTCTATCGCACTCTCTCACTCTTTCTCTCCCTCTCACACTCTACCGTTTTTCTTTAAAAGACCACCCTCTTTCTATCTTTATAAATCATCATCCTTCCTTATCTCATCATTTCATTTTTTGGATTGGCAGGCGAGTTCAAGCTGCCACTCGCTGGACTAGAGATTTTACTACTGCTTTATTGCGCATCCATTGTTCGAGAAGGTATCTGCCTTCTTTTTCTTTCCCTCTCGTTCTCTCTTTTTCTCTGTCGCTTCGTTCTCGCGTTCTCGGGAACCGATAGGAACAGGTCCCAATTTCTCGACATTATTTTACACTCTCATTCTCTCTTTCTCTCTCTCTCTCTCTCTCTCTCTCTCTCTCTCTCTCTTTCATTCAATCTTTCCCGCTGTCTCTTCGTTTCCCTTTTCAGTGAATATTCTCGCAAGCATTTCCTTAATCCGCTTCGGCGGAAAATCGGTTCGCAGGAGATCCGCTCGACGGCTGGCTCTTTTCTCTCGCCGGATGTGAAACTGGAACCATAGCGCCGGAAACGAGCAACTGTAATTAGGGTAAGACGCCGTCTCGACAGGATCCACGAAAACCGTAGAAAGCTTTCATCGTCTCAATGAAACGGTCGAGAATCCGTTTCGTAAGTTCTCAAGATCGGCAGGTGTTAGTCGCGAGATGATATAATCATTTGTGATTGGGCGAATCGATAGCGTGCTTAGTGAAATGAGTCCGTGTCTCAGTTTAAAAAGTCCGTTTTATATTTTATACAAGCTTGTGACTCGACAGGTTCCGACGGAATCACCTAGATCCGATGATCGGGATTTACAAAATTCACAGAATTAATACTATCAAGTTTCACTATTATCGTAAATACAAACATATTTATAGTTTTTTACACGATATCGTCCGGGGCCGCCAGACTTAATGACTATGTCGCGCTAGCAACGTTTACTCTCAAACACAAATGATGCGCGGCTGCACTCGCAAAAGATTAATTTCATCAACCCTTTGCAGTCCCGGCGAAGCGGCGTTTATTTTCACTCGCTCAGCTAACGAAGCTACCTTCGCGGTTCAAGGTGGAAAAAGTAAGCGACCGCGGATTTCGTCGAACTTGCGGCAGACTGCAAAGGATTAGGCGCCGAAACAGCTGTCTCCGAAGCTCGTAGAGGAAGCAGACAAGTCGAGAATGACGGTCGATCTAGGATCTAACTCGCCGTGGCGATCTACCCGAACTATCGGTTGCTCCGTGTCCCGTTCTCGCAAGGATTAACGAACGAACGCTTCTGGCAAGGCTCGACACGCAGGGGAGACATTGCATCGGGAGACGAACATGATCGGCCCAGGCCGATCTCTCCCCGTCGATCGATGAGAAAGCTCTCGGCGAGCAAGGTCCGCGCGATGGGACGAGACGCGTCGTTTTCTAAATGTTTATAAGGCACGGCCTCGAGAACGTTGGTCTCTCTCGTCGACCAGGATCTTCTACGGTCCTGGAACGCGTTCGAGGGCCGGTGAAGGGGAGAAGAACACGTCGCCGCCGTTGGCACGCTCTTGCCTCGCTGTTGTACGAAAATAAAGTTGATCTTACGTAGAGAGGATCCTCGTGGGTCGACGGGCCGTGCAACGAGTTCGCCGTCGGTCGTTCCACGGCCCGACGTCTCGATTGTTCACGTTACAATAGGGCAGTGGACGACCCGTCCAGACGGATCGCAACTTGATTCCACGCATTCGTGATTCGAACCATCCGCGGAACGGTCGCGCGAGACGCTAGCAGGTTCTATAAATCGTTTTTAGTCCATAACAAATGAGGGACCCCTTGCCGAGCGGCTTCGCACCCTTTCTCGCGACAGAGTGGCAGTGAATCCTCATCCTTCCGAATGGGAAGCGCGTTCCAAGCGTGTTTCGAATTTTGAAGCAAGAAGGGGGTCGAAATCGTTCGGCCTCAGAGCTCCTCAAATAATTTCATCTTAGTCGTTAACACTGATAAAAGCCTCTAAACTTTGTCGCTGTCCCTTAAAAAGCTACGCAAGCTAACATAGTAACTTTGCCTTGTACTCTTACGGTTAATACAGTTAGGAATCCAACTCGGAGTCTGCATCTACAGTAGCGTCTCGCCGCGAACCGCGCCACGGTACGGCGTGAACGAATATTCCAATTCCAAAGGGGAAGCTTAGGCGAATTACGGCTCATAGTAAACGGTGTGTGTGTGTGTGTGTGTAAGTTGCGTAACGCGTACGTGTTGCGATTTGTCCTGGACAAGCCACGATTCACTCTGCTCGGTAGAAACGGTAACGCTAAGTCTAAACGTATCAAAAACCATCGTCCTTTAAGGCTGGCTTGCGTGGAAAATGTGCGTCGCGGTTCAGTTGGGACCGTACGCAGAGCGGGAGGAGAATGTCGCGCATTTCTTTGGTAATACGTACGATTATTGTAGTCATTATCTCGATACATGGCTACGAGTCGGCTCTGCGCTTTCGCCGAACGGCTTACATTTTATTTATATCCAAGCGTTATTGTCGAAAGTAACAAACGAGAAGGACACGCGTATATAAGTACGGCACACGGTCGCTCCGACCGTGAGAGCAACTCGAAAGTGAAAAGATAGACCTAATCGCAGACGAGATACGCGATGAGATTCTCTCTACGAATCGAAATTGTCACCCGACACAGTGATTGATCGAAAAACAATTATTGTCGCCGTTGTCATGGATTCTCGTTCGCGCTCGTTCTAAACAATAAATAATTTCCTAACGTTTCGTTTTGCTATCTTTCGTTTTTCCCCCTCTTTCTCTCCCGCGCTCCTACCGTCTATTTTACACAATTTGAATATAAAAAATAAGACTGTACATTTGATCTAGAGAAATAAATATGATGACCTTGTGCGAGCAATCGCGCGTTCGAATTTCATTCTCGGCTGCGACATCTCATCTGCGACGAAATCGATATAAAACTCCAAAGACAATGGGAAACCGAAAGAGCCTAATCTATACGACGCTTTTGGCGTCTCACAATGATTCCGGGGTGAGGCGAGGGGCTACTTAATCACACGTTTCGCATTAAATAATAAAGGAGCCACGCTGACGATCGAACTCGACCAAATATGTCTCTCTCTGTCCATGGTGCGTCGAGGACGACAGTTCAGAGCAAACAAATACAATGATAGCGAATCGTACTCGCCCTAGCAACGTCTACCCTTTAGAAGAATAATAATATAATGACCACTATTCGTGTACAATAATAATAATAATAATAATAATAATAATAATAATAATAATAATAATAATAATAATAATAATAATAATAATAATAATAATAATAATAATAATAATAATAATAATAATAATAATAATAATAATAATAATAATAATAATAATAATAATAATAATAATAATAATAATAATAATAATAATAATAATAATAATAATAATAATAATAATAATAATAATAATAATAATAATAATAATAATAATAATAATAATAATAATAATAATAATAATAATAATAATAATAATAATAATAATAATAATAATAATAATAATAATAATAATAATAATAATAATAATAATAATAATAATAATAATAATAATAATAATAATAATAATAATAATAATAATAATAATAATAATAATAATAATAATAATAATAATAATAATAATAATAATAATAATAATAATAATTAATAATAATATCAATAAAAATAATAAAAATAATCGTATAACTAAAGGCTGAGAATAGTAGCAGTAGTAAATCGTAATAATAGTAACAGTAATAGTAAGTTGGCGACATGGTAGCAATAATATATAATCATATATCGATTGTGAAAATATCTAAGATCAATGTTACTCTCTTCTCTTTGTCGCATTCACACCTGTCGCTTTTTCTCCCGCTCAGACACTCGATTCTTTCTTTAGTCTCTCTCCTGGTTTCGAAAAGCTCGCTACTCTCGTAGTCACTCTCAAATCAAAAATGATCACTGTACGTGAATGTATGCGTATATCCGTCCGTCTATCTGTCCGTCTGTCCGTGCGTATACGCGAATGTTTCGTGGATCTTCACGAATGTTACGACCGAGTACAGCGAATCGCCGACGACCTGTGTTTCGCGGCTCAGCAGGAAAGCTCGTGTTCTCGTTCCAGAGGTCTGCTAAACGGTTCTGGCAGTCGACTTCCACGTCCTATTGACATCGTAATTGACGAGAGTGTTCCAGCACTCGGGCGTTTAGCGTCGTGCCCAATCACCGCCAAAGAATCCTGTAGAAACAGTCGTTGACCGGCGTGGTCGTCGTATCGAAGCGATTCAACGATTGAGAAAAGCTGCCCGCCGCCGGAGCTCCTCTGACCGGGGAGGAGGAAGAAAGATCGGCAGTGAAGAAATACAGTTGAGCGCATCGTCGAAGATATCCTGCTACACGTCCTGAGTACAGTTTCCCTCTCGGAGACGAGAACACCGAGAACCAAGAAGCAACCGGCGCGCGATAGCGGCGACGGAGGCGGCGGCCACGCCGGGACGATCACGGCTGAAGCGTTTGCCTAATCGCAAAGGAGTCAACAAATCGGGAGACATATTCAGCCCTTGGAACTGTTCCTTCCGCGTGGAGCCTGCGCCTGTGTTCAGGATCTGTAGATGCGTATCACGTCCTTGATCGGCGCCCTACAGAGGGGACAGTGGCCGCCGCCTTTGCCGCACCACTGCTGGATGGCGCACGGATGACACATGCACATGTGGCCGCACATGTATAACACGCTATCGATGCTTCTTTCGTAGCAGATCGAGCACTCGCTGGGCTGTCCAGGGGTAGGTTGCAGACCTTCGCTCCACTGTTGCAGGTGTGAAGAGGCTTGAGAGGTGAGCGTGCCGTCCAGGCTTTGGTAGTTGACCGGCTCCACGTACGTCGAGGAGCCTGTGCTAGCCATGGTGCCCGTTAACGGCGGCGAAGACTGCCTGGAAGATCCTGGATGCGCCGATAGCGCGACCCCGTCAGGTCGATAAGGGTCGAACCTGGTCGTGGCGTATATGGTCTGAAGCGAGGGTGTGTTCGAAGGTGGCGTAGGGAAGGTCTGAGGCGGCAAGTTCACCACGAGAACAGTGCCGCCGCCCACGGCAGGCTTGAATTGCACCACCTCGGAGAATCTAGAGAGTTCCGTGGCGGCGTTGTTAAAGTTCGAGTGTTGTTGTTGCTGCTGCTGCTGCTGTTGCTGTTGCTGCTGCTGTTGCTGCTGCTGTTGTTGCTGCTGCTGGACGATGGGCGCCGGGGAGGGGTTGCCCTGTCGCGGCCTTGGCGGCGACGTCGGCTTGCTGGCCAGCATCCTGACCATCTGGGTGCTGCCGTACACGTCCACGAACGCCCAGAGCTGCAGGCTCTGGTCCACGTGCATCACCACGTTCGGCGGCCCATCGTTCTTGCTCATCTGCACCTCGCCGAAATGGGTCACCGTGAACGCTATCTCGTCCTCGGGCTGCGGGCTCGAGGCCACGTCCTTCGACACCACCCAGTACTCCGGTCGATCTAACAGCAGGTCGCTGTCGTCCGGCAGGTCCTCCGCGGTCAATCTCGCGGGGTCGCAGGAAGTCAGGCCCAGAGCGAGCGCACCCACGTACATCGGCTCCGTCGACAGGATCTGCACGACCAACCTTTCGCCCAGCATCAACGGTCTGCTCGTGAATACGTAACCATGACAGAACTCCGTGTCACTGCGCGCAGCCACGCACTGCTGGTTTCTGAAGTAGATGTTCCTGCCCCGTGTCCTACGGAGAAACGGAAACAAGGAAGCGATTAGCGGATTGTTTAACTGCGGAACGTAGCGGGAACGCTGATGGCGGTTCTGTGCGCACGCTGGACAGGCAAAATGCGGAGTTACGTGCAATATGATCGGAAGAGGACGAAGAGGATGGTCGCTTGGCTTTCGAATATGGCGGATCGAAGACCTTGCACGCGGAAACGGACGGTCAATTAAACTGGACACGATAATCATTTGTAATGGACTTCGCGTGGGAAAAGCTGATCAGCATTCGATCCAGGGCGGTGTCAGTCAGAATTAGTCGGACGTACGAAGGACACCGGCGGGAACATTCGTTTCTTTCGATCGTTTCTGATAGCGTTCTACTGTATTTAGGGTACAAGGGTCGGATTAACCCTTTCGGTACGAGCGCCGGATATATCCGGCATCCATCTGATGACCAATATGGACGAGTGCCGAATACATCTGGCATCCATGTAAGCCATATTTCTGTAGGCCCTTCACAGAATGTTTACAGGAAACATTTAAAGAAAGATTTAGAAACGGATTAACACGTTGGCTGCCGTGGGGGTCACCGGTGACCGGCACTCGACTTGGCTACAGCGCCGTGGGGGCCACCGGTGACCGGCGACGCGACGAATAGTTAAAATACATAATTAGCGTAAACATCGATACGCATAAATTTTTAAATAATATAATATTATAATAGTTGTAATTTATTACAATGCGCCACGAAAAGTGCATAAAACAAGTTTATACAACTAAACTTATCTGCTGTAAATAATATTTCAACATAATATGCATCGCATAATGACAAATTCATGTTGGCGCCTTGGGCAAGTCACGTAAAATTCGCGCGGCACAGCCAACGGATTAAGCACAGTCATTACTTAATAATGCTTAAGAAAATCTTCGTACAAAAGTGGACTGACCCTGTGTGTTATGTGCGCATTTTCGGCGCGGCACCCCGTACAGTGGGAGTGTCACGGCGGACAACGCGCTCGTACCGAAAGGGTTAATTACACGGCGATGGCGCAGAGTTTGAAAGCAGTTGTCAAGCTCGATTTAACCGACGCCGAAGAGACAAAAGGGATCGGCTACTTACGGGTGGAACGGTAAGGGCCTGAAGATGACACCGGGAGGCTGAAACCTGAGCGCGGGTAGCTCGACGTCCACGTCATGGATCGACAAGTTATGCATGGTCGGGACAACCGACTCCATGGCCGACTGCCTGCTGTGCTGCGTATTGTCCTCGTTGCTATGCTCGGCGCCTCTTCTGATATTGTTGAAGTGTTGTCTGTTCGGATCGACGAACTCGATAGCGGTGCTGTTACCGTACACGTCGATGATAGCCCAGAGCGGGCCGCGGGTCTCCACGCCGCTGAAGAATAGTCCTTTTTCCTCGCCATTCACGCCGAAATGCACGTCGCCGGCCGACGTCACGTAATAGAACAGAACCGTGTCCCTTTCGGCTAATCTCTCGGCTAGGGCCTTTGCCCAGTAGCCGGGTTTGTTCGTGAGGTCCGGGCAGGCGTACCTCGGCAGTCCATTCCTGAGGTTGATCGGGTCATTGCTCGTGAAACCGAACCGTATCACGCCGCTCCAGTTGTCGGAGATCTCGAGGAATTTGATGCAGACCTAAGACAGAAAGAAAGGGACTTCATTGGCATCGATCTCTATCTCTCATTGTATCATAGTTTATTGACCGGCGGTTTTTTCTAGTAGTTCTCTTCAAAACCGAGTTCAATCGTTAATAGTTTCTTTTTTTAAATTTGTCCAGAAACTGCAATAACCTCATCCGGAATCTATCGAATTATTTGGACTGTGATGTACATGTCTAGGAACCTGACGTACCAAGCGTGCGAGATCAACCACGTGCGTTCAATGTGCAAGCAACGCGAGGAGTGCGCCCCGAGTTGCGAAGGAGAGCAAAGAAGTGTGGAGAAACAAGAACGTGTAGTCCGCGGAGATGTAACCACCGTTGTAATACACAACCACGTTTAATAAATAGTATAGAAATTATATGCAAGAAAAAGCGAAGGAGTTCCAAAAGAAAAATGTTTCGAATACAACGTACATCTATGTTTAACGCCAAGTGCAAACTGTTTTATGGAATTCCACGCTTATGCTTTTATGCACGGAAGTGCAAATATTTGTAAGTCGTTGTTACTTCAAAGTTACAAAGTGAATTAATTATGATAAAATTGTTTAAATTGGTAATGTTTTTTTAATCTGCATCCATAGGTTCATAATTGTTGATTTTCCATTGCATAACTTTTTTTTATAACAAATTCGGCCCATAGAGGGTTAATCACGTTAGAGAATCCGATTGCGCCGTGAGAAAGAGAGAGAGAGGGACAGTTGCCGGTCGCCGAGTGAGCGCCAATCACCGATTGACACCAGGCGACAAGGGTGACTCAGCACTTAATTAGTTTGGCGCTCACTCAGAGATGGCTGTCCCTGTCTCTCTCTCCGGCGCATCGACGAGATCGCGTCAAAGTCGCGTCGTCGCGATTTGAATCGCGCGCCGTGTTCCAACCGCGACTCACAATTGTTACTTCCAATCCTGAACAATGTGTGCAATTTGATAGTATTATAAATGGAGGTTTATTGGTGTAGAGAAAAATGAACGTGAGTCTATTTGACAATAACTTACCAAACTAGGACATTTTTATTATAAGTCTATATTCATATCTTGTCCATCCTGGTCTACCCTAACCAACAAAACTACCCATCAAATTGCAAACTCGATACTCCAAGTGCTCGCCAGAGGTCGACACACTCCCTCGCGCGGATCGCAAAATACACATTGTATATTATATACTTTCCAACAATTAGAAAATATACATTTTCATTCCCTTAAGATATTCTTCATTAGACTGCGGATTCTTATGAAAAACAAAAATTGTTTGCATCAATTGAAAGACATGCAAGCCAAGCACAAGTTTATTTCTTTCTTTAATCATTTTAATGAGTTCAAATTAACACGTTCTTAGTTTCTTTGAATTTCCTCACTGTTTGAAATTATATTTTTGCCATATATGCATAAAATCCGCAGCCTACTCATAATAATTAATTCCTGTCTCCTGTGATCCACAACGGATAAATACGATGTAACAAGTTCTTTTAAAGTAAATATTTATAAGAAAATTATCGAGCTTCCCTTAGTTACGGTTGACTGATAATTAATTAATGTCTAGTGGAAGGAAAACGATAGTTGGAGTTTTCGAGTAGAAGAACTTTTGGGACAGAGAAACAAATTACGGCGATTAATTTTTAAAGAGCAGAACATTCTTCTCGAGTGTCGAGCACGGAATTCAAAGGCTATATATCGAAGAGGACACGCCCGGGGACCGATGTTCCTCACAAGGCCCGACCGTGGCCTACGAATTGGCCATGAGAATCCTTCCAATGCCTGTAAGAATTTCTAAACGTTCTCAATTAAATTAAATGTAGAGTAACATGAGATGGATAAATGGGACTAATTCAATTAAATCAATCATTAGTAAAAGAAATTTTGTATTAAAAATTTTATCTTGCGCATTTTGTTTGCGAAATCGTAGTAAAAAATGGCATTATTTCGTTACAATCGTTTCCATAAAGACGAATAAAATAATTTCAGCCATCTGTCGAAGTCAAAGTGGGAGCACTGTGCGACCGAACATCCGATGGAAAGTTGTTGGAAGAAGTTTTCAACCTGGCGAGAGTTAATCTAGGCGTTGAAACGATTGATTCCAGCATGAACTTCAAGAAATTTGCATGGAACGATCGATTGAAATCGTGAGGAATGAAGGGATTTCAGGCAGAATTGAATTTTCAACGATCACCGGAGCCCAGCAACGAGACACCGGCACCAGTGTCACGCGAATATTGATCGCGCCGTTGCATAATTTAAACCCGGTGGTGGTCTATGGTGTCGATTCACAGTCGACGTCCAGGAATTACATCAATCTTCGTATTTCTCGAAAACCAGCGTTTCTCCCTTCCAATCTCTCTCTCTCTCTCTCTCTCTCTCTCTCTCTCTCTCTCTCTCTCTCTCGTTCTGGGAGAGCAACCAAATTTGGATCGGTGTCTGCGTTCAACCACCGTGTCAAAGAAGAATTCAACCGGTTCCATCAACTTCGCCACGTAGACGAAAGAAATACTTGCAATGTCATTGGTGCAGGAAATTGGGCCAGGTTGTAACAAAAAAGTTCGCCACAGTTTTTTCTTTCTCGAGAATGTTCTTAACACTAGGATTTACGGAGCTCAAAAAAACAGTTGTTTCATATTAATTTATAAAAGTAACAATAGGACATTTATTCTGTTTTTTAACAAGTGTTAATGTAACATATGTCGAAATGTAACAAATAAATTGAATAAATAACAAATAAATGTATCTTTACAATATGAATAGTCGTAAATTAAAAAATTAGTGACCGTCAAACCAAGAAATGGTTTGTTGGAATTATGAAAGACCGAATGATAACGAATGGTAAATATCGATTAGAACTTTGTCGATTGTAGGAATCGCTTAGAGGAGGAAGAAAATGAACATTTAACTCAACGCTTAAATATTGTTGAAAGAAGAGCAGAATTTTATTTCGATTTCAAGAAATGGAATAACATTCGAACTTAACGAAGAGTCTCCGTCACGAGTCAGACAAGTACGGTGCAAGGATTTAACAGATCAAGATCTATTTTATTTAACAATTTTGAAATAATTAAGCGCTCCTGGTTCACAAATATCGGCAATCGAATGGATGTATAGTCGATAATGGCTACGACGTCCTCGACATCTCCTTACAAGAGCGCACGGATCCACCTCTTAACACATTTCAACAATGTCCAGCTACGATGACAAAATTTTCGGCGAGTTTGCGAACGAAATGGCTCTTTCTGCTACCAAGTTCGGCCACGTTATGTCACGAGACGGAACGTGACGGAAATTCCAAAGGCGATATAGTCGACGGTGGGGAAACGGGTTACGAAATATCGGGTTTTACGTCGAACAATGTTCCTTTTCGTAGAACGGAAAGTCTTTACCGCGGCTTTGTCTTCTCTAACAGCTGTTTTTACGGCCGTTGGCCGGCTACGAAATGTCGGAGCGACACGAATGGCCGATTCGTGGACGTTTCGAGGGAGAAACTGGAGCTTGAGACAATGGGGATCGGTGGTTGGAGCGAAGCTTGTCGAGGAAGTCACTGTTTTCTCATCGCTGCCGCTGTTCCCTCGTCTCTGAACGAGACGGATTGCGATTGACTGTGTTTCCAGCTAATTCCTGTCCCGGAAATACTACACTTCTATCAATCTACGCAAGTGAACTGCAGATCTCCCCGCGCTTACCTTGCTAATTCGGTTCTGCTGCGCATCGCTAATATTTATTTTACCCTCGTTGCAAGCTATCTGCCTTCAAATTTTCACAAGGCTAGTCACGAAAAGAGGAAGAGAGAGAGAGAGAGAGAGAGAGAGAGAGAGAGAGGATTTTGCAGAGAAGAATAAAAAAATCTTCGTATGAAAATCTTCTTACCGATCTCGACTCCGAATACCTGTATTCCCACGTGTAGAAAGTACACAAACATATTTCAGTGATTCCCCATTGCGATCGTGATCGATGAATTTGTAAACAGCTAGAACCACACACGAACAAATTCCCTGTGCCAATGATTTAGAGACTGCTAAACCCGTAAACCCTGTCGAAGAAAACAAACGCACTCGCATTCGCAGAAAGTACTTCGGCCATTGCATAAGACAATCCATCTCCACCCATCGATCCCAGAGCTCTGGGAGATCTGGCTGCGAGACTCGCGAGACGCCAATCATCGCCAATAAACGCCCACGGTGATCGATCGGCGACAGCGATCGGGGATCGTTCCCCGTGAAAATCTAATCCCAAGGTGTTTAGTGAAATCCACGAGGAACCTTCGGATGCCTCGCCCACGCTGTCCGACAGTTCTCCTCGGGGAGAGAGATAGATGGAGAGAGAGATAGGAAGAGAAGAGAGAGAGAGGGAGAGAGAGAGACAGAGAAAGAGAGTGAGGGAGAGAGAGAGGGAGAGAGAGGGAGAGAGAGACAGAGAGAGTGAGGGAGAGAGAGGAAGAGAGAGGGAGGGGGAGAGAGAGAGAGACAGAGAGAGAGTGAGGGAGAGAGAGGAAGAGAGAGGGAGAGAGAGAGAGACAGAGAGAGAGAGAGTGAGGGATAGAGAGGAAGAGAATGAGGGAGAGAGAGAAAGATAGGTCAAGAGAGATAAACAGACAGAGAGAGAGGATGAAAGGAGAGTGGATCGTGCACACGCCGGTTGCTACGCAGAACTATCCGCGGACGAGTAAGTTGGATATGGATAGTGGTTGTGTTGACAAGCGATATACCTAAACGCTGAACTGTCGACTAGCAGCGAGAGATGGCTGGCCTCTTCAGGGTCGGCCACGGTTTACTAGACAGGGAATGCAAATGACGGCGGCGGCGTCGTCGAGTGGAACAAGAGTCACCCGATTCTCACAATTAAGCGCCGCTCTAGCGTATACGATTTGCCGGGCGACAGGCGGGAAACGAGGAAACGCGGAAAAATGCAGCGGGTTTTTTTTTTGCCCGGCTGCCGCGAGCGCTTTCCATCGGGGATAAAACAGCCGGCTACTCCGAGCCGATTAATTATTCCGACGAGATCGGCAATCTGTAATGAGCGGACGCGGGAAACTTTTTGTGGAACGCGGGCGAGAACCTATCGTTTTCTTTTTTTTTTCCTTTTTCTGGAATTCTTCGATGACAAACAGACTTAGGGTAACGGAGCTGGTAACTGTGATCAATTGCTGTGCCTTTGGTTTGTTTCCGTGCATACTTTACATTCAGTAAATAAGAGATATTACATTTTTCTTTTCTTTTGTTTTTCTTGTTTTTTCTTTTCTTACTTTTGAATAAATAAACCTTTTTATTCGAAAATGAACAAAATAAAGGAATAAGAATATTTGATATGTCGTATTCGATAAATACAAACGAATTTATTTATGCAGAGAATTTTATTACTTATGGTCACGAGATTAAGGATGACAAATTTTGTAGACTGCAGTCAAATTATAATATCATTGTTTTAGTTTTTTCCAGATAATAAAACAGTCACTCGGTTGAGGTACTATAGTCTCTTCAACGTGACGAGTGTAAACAAAATTGGCTACGTAATATTCGCGTAATCGTTTGCAGAGCTATTAAACCTCGAGCTCATAGTTGGTCTCTAACAGTCGGAAGATTCATATTTCTTAAATGGACATGCTATAATTACTGTGCGTTTGTTTCAACTTACCATCCGGTCTCGTTAAAAAGGCTGTAACTAAATCTCTATTAACGTATACGATGAATAATGTCGTGTTCGGATGATAAAGAATTTAAATAATCGTGGTTTATCCTTTAACGCTCAACGCTCAACACGTGCGGTACTCATTAAGACCAGGACTCATTTATTGGTGGCTTTGTGTTTAGAACGAGTAAATTACCTTTTCACCGACCCGGACGGGTCTCGCGCTGAACGTGACACCCTTGCAGAAGCTCTCGTGTCTTTTGGCGATGGTCCCGCCATTGCAGAGTCTGATATTGTCACCATGAACCTGATGGAACGTCAATGGTGGTAGGTTGTTGGTACCTGCACTGGACGATCTTGGTGCTGTAACAATTACGAAAAGAGCCACACGTTAAAATCTACGATTCGAACATCTTGTCGATTCGAAGTCACTATTGCTTTGTCCAGAGAACGATCTAAGATATCCGAATTATTTGAGGCACGAAGCCAGATCCATCTAGAATCGAACGATCCGCTTCTGGGAACTCGAAAGAGGGCCAGAGGAGGGACCAGGTCAATCCTGGGACCGAGCTTTAAATCAAATTACTCAATTCCCACTCGAAATTCCTCGATGATAATTAATGCTCGGTTGGACGGCATTGTTCAACCCGTTCGTTGGTAACTGGACGAGTAAATAATTCTAACAGCTTCAGCACATTCACGATTCTTCGTCTAAATATCTAGCTTGAATTCATTTGCAACGAATGAAATTCAAAAATTGAATTGTGCAATCGCTGAAACTGGAAAGTTGCTTATCCAAGCTGCATCCACTTATCAATTCCGGTATTCCCGGAAAATCATTGTTCTTTCCTTACACAACGTTTGCAAGATCCAAGAAAAAATCCAATCTTATCGGTTATAACAGCTCGGTGGATTTACTGCGCGAAGAACAGGAAAATGATCGCAAGCAATTACGATAACTCTGCAGTCAGTTGTCTAGTTGTTTGAAAAAATTCTCTGAATCAGTAATGTGGTCGGACGCAGATTCTGTTTTTTTTTATTTTTATTTTTCGGAGTGCAAATGGAGTCTTTGGGTCACGGATGAAAACTCGTGGAAGGAAAGTACCTCGCGGCCGGGAAATTCCTCCGAGTCAGCCGCGAAACAAAAGCCGCGAAAGAGGAGGCCGAGGGAAGGGATGCAAGACGGATATCGCGGCGAAGAGGGAGAGAGAGAGAGAGAGAGAGAAAGAGAGAGAGAGAGGAGAGGGGGAGGGAGCGAGTGAGAGAGAAAGGAAAGATGGAATTCGATCGAGAAACTGAAATGCAAAACCACCTCTCGAAGCAGCTCGAGCGTTTCCACTTCGGTATTTCATAACTCCAGCTTGTCGGCCCGGAATGCGGGAATACTGCCAGGATATTCCCAGGGTGCAATCAGGATCTATCTGCGACGAGGATACCATAACCGGCGCCGGATTTTCAACCCCTAGCGAGGATTCGATTTCCATCAAGCAATTAACCCTCCTCGTCCCGTTAAACCGATCGAGCACTATGAGAACAGCCGGTTCTCCAACCCCGATTTTTAGGGTAACTTGAAATTTCTTCATACAAGAAATACGTGTGGATGTTTTCTTCGAAAGAATGTAATTACAAGAATCTGTGTACGCGTCGATAGCTTTTTTTTTGTAAATTCACCAGAACAGAATTCGGAGAGAAATAATTTCTTTTAATACGGTTCTTGTTGCAAGGCTTCCGTTGATTCGCTTTTAGAAAATTAAGGGTAAGCGTGATCGGTGAAATTTAACGACACCGTTTGGTTCTCGCGGTTTCGTGACACTTTTGAGTATCGCTGAACGACGAGGACGATTTACTATGTGTAACGAGTGAGGAAGTTGATAAGTCTCAATTAGGGCTGCGTCGGAGATACTGTACTATCTATTTCCTCCAATACTGAAATAAAAATTACAAGTCGCGCGAGAAGCGGCCTGAACGGGACGCGATAACACGGTATCTTCGGTAATTAGTTTTGAGGAAAATGAACACTTCAATTAATTAGCGATGAATTAATAAAGTATCTCGCTGATAGCGAAATGTTCTTTAAATAAATCTTATGAGAAACAAATAGGACTATTAGCCAGATCGGAATATCAGCGAAACAAACAAAAACATAATCCGGAATAATTAATTCAACCGGAATACAAATTTAGCAACACAAATAAAAAGACAACAATTCACAAACAAATAAAAGATCTATCGACCAAAACAAAAGTGTACCAAAAACAAAACAAAAAGTCTGTTCACCAGAATAAAAGTTAATAACAACAAACGGAAAAAATCTGTTCGCCAGAACAAAAGTTAATAACAACAAACGAAAAAAATCTGTTCGCCAGAAGAAAAGTTAATAACAAACGAAAAAAATCTGTTCGCCAGAACAAAAGTTGATAACAACAAATGCTATGAAACCGGATACAAATTAGCACGAGACGATCAACTGCCCAAAACAAGAACACTGTCACTGTCAAAGAACAACTCCCTTCGATTGACCCAGATAATCGGCGCGCACAGGTCAGTATCACAACGTGTGAACAACGATAAACTACCGGAAATGATAAAATAAACAAGTGTCGCAGGTTCAACAAAAACGTATGAAGAAAGAAACAATCGCAAAGAACGAATCGATCGAAACGAAAGAAAAAAAAAATCACGAAAAGCTTGCGGGAAGACCACGACCGTCACTCGCGACAGTCCAGTTCAGACTGACTATCGATATGCGGGTACGGCGGTGGTATCGCAGTCGATATCGTACGTGCGCCACGCACCGGAAACCGCACATTCGGTGGCGGAAGCGGCCGCAACAGAAGGCGCGTCGCGTCCTCAAGCGAGCACGCTTTCTCCGCGAGCGGATGCGCGCCGAAACCACGGCGAACAATGCCCGGCAACAGGAAGCAACTCGATAGCGAGGTCGTCCGAGACTTCTGCAGGCTTCGGCCATTTCCCTTGGCATTTGTTGCCGCGATTGGCAGCACTGCGTGCGCGAACGACTTTTCCACGCGGCCAGAGCAAGACCATCTTCGCTCTTCTAGATAAACAAGCTTGGCGATCCATCGGGCTAGATGACTGCTTTCGATGTCTTTAAACCGCTTGGACTTCTGTATGCATCATTTAACAGGTTGATTGACCAGCCACCATCCCCAAAAGCCCGTAAAAAGCCAAACTAATTTAGCTAGCGAAACCAAAGTTGCAAAGTTAAAGCTTTTTAGACGGATTAAATACTTGTTTCGTATTGTTTGATTTTGACAATGATCTTGAAATTTGGTTTTCTATATTAGAGTCATCAGGTTGCGGGTCTTTATGCAAAATAAAAATGATTTACGTCAATTGTGTTGCATAAATTAGATAAAAGTGTCCTTCGTATTTTAATAACTGTTTCGTGTTTCTTCTATTTATTCTTGTTACAAGCGCGTAAATTCTGCAATTCAACGATGATCATCCTTCGAGCATGTTAAAGCTGTTCGCTGATTCTTCGTTCTTTATTTAAGCAAATGAAAAAAAAATAGAACTCTTTATTTAAGCTTAGATAATCTGTTACTTTTGCGTAACTTTTACGCAGAACGTATTACTTTTGCGTCATTTTATGCAAATCTTGCGAACTCCAGAGTCATTCCGCGCTAGTTAGAATGAATCAGCTGTACAATGATTTTTAACGTCGCTTAGTTTATGGAACAAATGCTATAAAAATCCTAGGTTTTCCCCAGAAGTTTGTTAAAAATAAATGCAACAGCTACATATATATCTTCAACTTATGCTTCTTATAATGTCTGCGGGCAATTCTTCCGCAGATCTGCAACAACGAACAGCACTTCTCTATCAGTTTCATCGCAGAGAAAAAGTGCCAGTTCTATAAACACGCGCTAACTTACCGACAGTTATGGAAGACCGGCTTCACTTCCTGTTTCCGGTCTGGATCCCGATAGATGATCGCGAAAGGTGGTCACCATGATGGAGCCGCGCGCGTGAGAAAGAAACAACATCGGGAGCATTTTCATTCGGGCCGCGATTAATCCGCTAACGAACCGAAACCGCGTTGGTTGGCTCCCGCGAACGGCGACCAGCCGAGGCAGTCACGATCTATGGATCGCCGGGCAAAAATCACCGGGGACGATAGGTTTCTCACGGTCCGGCTAAGGCGCGTATTACGAACCAGTCGTCCGCGATTGTAATTTTTAATCCATCCGTCACCCTGACCGAGCGATTTCGTTTTTTCGCGCGAGCATACCGTTAGCGCCACGTTCCCCGGGCTCCACGGGACTCGAAAAGGAACTCGAAAACGGACTCGAAGGGATTGTAATAACCGCGCGGAACGATCGCGTGCACTCCTCGGACCGCGTCCGACCCCTCCCGTTTTTTCTCGGCGACCAACGCCTTCGTGGCATATCGAATATCGGTCAGTTCGATGGGAAACGCCGATTTTTTTCACCGTTCTTCTGGGACTCTCGCGGCCCTTTCTTCGGCTGATTGCCGCTGTTTTCAACATCCTTTCTCAAGTTCCCTGGATTTCGTTTACGACTCCGTGAACACCTCGCGTTTGCATCTCCATTTCGTGGACTATATAATTTGGCGTCGTATAGATTTTTCTCCCGTCGAAATCCTCGTCTAATTAGAGCTGCTACATTTTTTTTAACGGTGTTTAACCCTCTCGATGCCCACGAAAATGTGCAATAGAAGAAATATCTGCCTTTTAAACTAATTTCGCGATTTTATACTATTTTGGTGTCGAACGAATGCCATTGAGATTATATTACAACAATTACGCTATAATCTCGATCAGAAAACGTATGATTTCAAAGTTTCCATAACTAGCACCAGTTTCTGACAATTAATTAAAATTTTCACACGTTTCATTAATCTCTAAAAAAGAATTGAGAAGTTGATGAATGCAATAACAAATAATCCCAAGTCATAATAATCTCGACGCAGTTACGTTTTCGTCAAAAGAGTCCGTTATGCGAGTGTTAAAAATGGCACACGTTTACAAGTTGGTCGAAAAAGCCAGAAATCCGGACGATTAGCTTCCGGTTAACCGAAAAATCCATTGTCCCGGCCGTACGCGCGGTCCCACGAGTCTTAATTTCGTAGATCCGTATCTGTTTATATCGTGTCAAGCAGACAATGGCGTACAGTTAATTTTAATTATGTATACGAACGCGATCACCTCTCTCTCCTCTCTCCGCGCCGCGCAGTCCTCGATTTTTACGTTCGGAAATTTCGTTACGTTTCCAGTAGGCCGCTTCCGGCTAACGACTATTTCACAGCCGAGTCACGACCGTTCAATTTTTTCCTGTTTGCTCGACCGAATCGGCGGATTTACCAATCAAGAAAAGTCGTTTTTACTCGGCAATTGCGTCACGAAGTTTGCGACCGTTCGTTCATGAGTCAGGAGACAGTGATTCAATAGACGGTTAATAATACACCTGACGTAAGGACGATTCAGGAATTTGAGCAGAAGACAACTTCTCTCTCTCTCTCTCTCTCTCTCTCTCTCTCTCTCTCTTTCTCTTTCTCGTGGTTCTCACCGATACCGATTTCTACACTTGAACTTGACTAATTACATTTTATTCGGAACGGTGGATTTTAATCTTCGGACGATCGGCCATTTACACAACGGTACAACCGGTAGTACTTGTAACCAGACTGCGGAACTTCATGCGAAATAAAAACTGTATCATCGTAAGTATCATCGTAAGAAGTTGAAAATCACGTGTAACAATATATTCTTCCCAGTTTTGTATTTGGTCTTTCAATTTTGTCCGTAAATGCATAAAATACCTCACCTAATATCAGTTTCCCAAAACATATTTTTCAAGACACTTCTAGCAAACTTATCAGTTTATCTGTTGCACCTAGTACAACAGTAATTTATTTCACTTCATTTCTGAAAATTGAGCATAATTTAAAATGCTTAAAAATTCGTAGCATGACCAGCAAAAGATAGACGAAGTAACATCGAACTAGAACTGTGTAATTAGTAAAAACCGGATTAACCTGAACAATTTATATATTTTTGGCGTACTTGTTTTCGTGTATTTTCCTTTTTTCCACTATCTTTATACCAGTCTATCCGCACACCTCCGACTTGACTAATATACACATATATCAACAATATGTACACAGGTTGTCCCAAAATTATGGTATTTCCCGGAAACGAGGGGTTGCTGAGGTCATTTGAAATAACTTTTTCCTTAGCGAAAATGCAATCCGCGGCGTCGTTTACGAGTTATTAACGAAACACGGTGACCAATGAGAGGCGAGATCGGTTAGATAATAAATTGGAAATGTAAACCGAAATTGTGGAAGCTGGATGCGCACTATTGTCACCAAGGACAAGGAAAAGCGCAGCTATCGGAGACGTTCGCCGATTTCCGTCTCCGTAATGCCGCGTCTCGGAGATGATTTTCTGGCGAGGAACCACCCCCGTCGTCGGCAGATGGCAATCGCGAGGGGTAAATGGAATCACGGTTCGTTTGATGGGACAACGAACGAGAACGGCGCAACGGTACACTTCGGAAGATTCCCACGGTGAATCGCGCGGCATTATGAACTGCGCCGAGGAAACCGCGTCAAGGAAATGCACTTCAGCGTGGATAATCGCCCAGGACTTCCAAGGATGACGCGACTTCGTCCCGGGACCGAGCTGCTACTGATTACAAATTGAATCGCTCGAATTCAATATATCTAGTCGATCTGCTGCGTGGTAGACATCTTCCCTATCGACACAAAAAAAGTGCTCTTCCCTAGTTAACCCTCTTATCTACCGAAAGTCTGTTGATCCTTTTAATGCCGACAAGATCGTTGTCGGCATTGTCAACATTGAGAAAATGTTGTTCTCTTAATATTTTTAACAAATAACAGTTTCATTTCGTAATTTATGACTCCCTTCTGAATTTTCTAATTATCCGGTTTTACAACAGTTTCATCATTTTTTCCAAAACTTAATTAAACTACATCAAACAGGTTCGTTATCTTTCTCTCAGGTATACACGATCTTTTTGGTCGGCACTGAAGAGTTTAATAGAATTTCCAATTCTTATGCTATGCTCTGAACAAATTTAAATAATCTTTTCCTATATGATAATCGAAAATATTAAAACTAAATTTATATATTAAAATATTACAACTGAACGAAATTAATTAATAATATTACACAGGGAGAGTTATCGGTGTACAATTAAAATAGTTTATAAAAAAGAGTTGCTGATAAATTGTTTCTCTTCTCCTGTGGTAAACAAACGATCAGACGCTTTCGATTATCTTATTTAAAACCAGAAAAAAATTATTCGAGTGACGATATTATAATAATAATAATAAAATATGATAAAATAATAATAATAAATAATATGATATACGTAAACAAGATTTGCATTGTTTAACGCAAGAGGAAGTGAGGCAGTAGTCGAAATCGGGCGATCGTAAATCGTGTCGAAATTGGATCATCGATCAGCTGGTCCACTCGAAGAAGCCGCTTTGACGATTGCGCCGAGGTCGCGATCGATCATCGCGTATCTGCCCTCTCGACCTCGGCTCTATCGATCCCGATGATCGACGCGGGAACGCGAACACCGTTAATAAGCATTACACACGCCTATCACGCGATTAATGTATCGCTTTATAAGCGGCCGAAGAATCGCCGGAGTATTTTATGTGATCGATTTATGCAAAAAGAAATCTCGAGCCGCAAGATACAAGCGGTGTGGAG